TTATTTTTTTTTTTGGTCTATTGACTTTGTACTTCATACAGGTAATTCGCAATATTTTTTTTTTCATTTTTGATTTCATATTATTTAACTTTTAATATTATTTAATTATTATGGTATTTTATTTTTCTTAAAATATTTATAAATTGTGTTGTTGTTTTGTGTTGAAATTATTTGAACTCCATTGGAATATTGTTGGCTTCAAAGTTTAAGCTTCGTATATAATAGTGTTTTGTATCCTTATGCTCAATCCAATTTTATTTTGCTATAAAGTTTTCAATTGTTTTACTCCATCCAGATTTTTGTTTTTAGAATTAAAATTATTTTCTCAATTGGTTATTCTTTCGTTTCGTTTTGCATTCTTAAGTCATAAGATAATTATTTACAAAAAATGAAATGTCATAGATTTTCATTGTTTGGATGGCTGGGTTGTTGCTTGTATATTTTTTGGGGGAATATTTTAAAGTCGACTCATCATCACATTGAATCCAAATCATATGATATTTCATCACAGACATTTCGAATTTAAATTATATTGATAAAATTATAAGCTGTTTTTTTTTTTTAGTTTCTTTTATCAATATTATTAATAAATAATATTATCACATGACAAAAATATTATGAGAACAATAATGAAATAAAATATTATGAGAAATTTTATACAAATTACAAATGAAAATATTAAAAAAAAAAAATTAAATATGAATAAAATTTTTGACTAAGTTTAGTTGACTAGAAATTTGTCTTTCACTGCTACGAGTAGCTTACAAGATATATTCTGTTATGGGTTGAGTTTAAATAAAATTTTTAAATTGGTTAATTTTCATATCTAACTATTTCTAGTGATATTATCGATCCTGTTTAACTTGAAAGTGCCTGATTCGAGTTAACTAAGTTGAAAGTTTAGATTTTGTTATAAAAATAAATAAATATACAATGCATGTATATGAAAATCATTAAGAAGATTAAACTGAAACCATTAAGACGGTTAAAAATTAAATTGTAAATGCATGTAAATACAAAGAATATTTGAGATATTTTTGAATTTATAATCAAATAGATTTGTAGATTCGCATTGAATGTACGTGAACGCTAAAGAAAAAAAATTCTAAAATGGAAAATTTAATTTGGAAATTTCTAACTATAAATGGAATTGAGCCAAAATTTAGAATGAATTTAGATCTGTTTAATCACAGATCTATTTGAATAAGTTATATTGTATAATTGGATTATGGTCTTTCTTTATAATAATTATTAAAATTTTTTATTTTTCACTTGAAATCTGTAAAATTTGTATAAATTGTAAACATTAAATATATAAATATTTTTCTAATGCATTTACATTTATTCATCACAGAAAATTTCATTAATTTTTATTGCATCATACTGTATTATGTGCTTTTTAGAAACATCATAAAAGCAACAATACAATGAAATTTTTTTAATTCATTCCTGGAAACTTATTGAGCGTAAGCTGAATGACCTTAAAATATATTTTTATTGAACAAGAACATTTTTATGATTTTCAAATTTTAAATATAACTTTTAATAGAATTTTCTTAATATTCATTTCATAATTCTAGTATGAAGAATTATTGGGTTGCGATTCACCCCCACCACTCAAATAGTTTAGAAAAATTTTGATTATTTTATAATTATATTTTACAAGAGGGAATGTTCTTTTCTTAGGTTAAAAAAATTCTATTTTTGCAGAAAAATTAAAGTAAAATATATTTTTATTTAATTTAATATCAAAAATATTTTGTTTTTCATTGTTCAATTTTTGATCAGTTTAGGTTAATTTTTAATCTAGAATTTTACTACATGAACTCTGCAAATTTTTTATTAAATAATGCAAAATCATTTTTAAAAATTTTAAATTTTCCCTAAAAGTATGCAAGGAATTTTTAATTAATTTATAATTTAAAAACTTTTAAGAACACTCTGATCTTGCTAAAATGTAAAAGCAGAATCGCGAAATTTTAAGAAAACTGCCCATAATGGTCTTGGCAGCCGAGAGTGTTGATAATATTATAATAATTAACTATATAAATAAATAAATAAATTAATAAATAAATAACCAATAAGAAAACTGTTGAAATTTGTAAAAAGTTTGTGATGAAATATTTATGTGTATGTGCAAGAAATTATTTAAATATTTTATTGTCAAAAATTTGAATAATTGTCATGTGATAATTTGATCGCATGATAATTTGATGATATGATAAATGTTCGTCGGTTGAAATGCCTGCAATAAAATCGCATTTAATTAAAATTCATGTGTTTTATATCTTAAAAAAGGTATCATATAAATGTATGTATATATATATATATATATAATATGTATATTTATGAATATAATATAAATGTATATTTGTGTATTTAGTTCTTTTTCTCTCCTTTGCCCATATTCGTATATTAAATCGCATTTTTGTTGTCACTCTCATAATTTATGTACATAAAAACATGTTTATTAGGTGCTCATAGGTAAATGTTTAATTTGTTAAATAAAAAAAAAATCAAATATAATTTGTGTTAATAGAAGTTTTTCATTTCAAAAATATGTTTTTTTTTTTTCTATTTTCTTTCTCCAATAAAAATAATAAAAAATAAAACAAAACAAAAACTTAAGTACTAAAAATACAAAATTTAATTATTAAAAAAAATCATTAACTTGAAAAAAAAAACAAAGCATCAAAGCAGAGAACGAAGTCTCAAAGCGGGAATTTTTCTTTCGCTTGCAGCAGGCGCACAACAATTCAAAAAAGTCAAAAGTAAAAGTTAAAAAGAAACATGAAAGAAAAATTTTTTTTTTAATTAAAAATTTATTATAAAAATTAAAGAATTTTTGAAATTTTGATAATAAAAAAAAATTTTAAATTTTTAAAAGTTTTTTTTTTTGATAATTTTTTTCCTTTTTTTTTTTAATTTTAATTAATGTAAATTCATAAAATTTTGAAAATAAATTTTGACAAAAAAAAAAAACGTAATAATTAAAATTTTGCAAGAGAACTTTGATTTTTCATGAAATAGAGAGAGACGAAGGCAGAGAGAAAGAAAGAGTGTGCCGGAATTTGAATCACTGAATTAGAACAGCAGATAGTTTTTATAATGCAGTATTTTCTCTAAAGTTTTTTTAAAGTAATGGTAAAACGAGGTTACTTCACCATTGAATCATGGTGAATTTCAATATTTTGTAATTTTTTGGTGAATTTTAATGGAATTGAATAATAATTTTTATTTTATACCACAAATTTGTAACAAAACGCACTATTCAAAATTTATATCAGGATTGAGTTTGCGAATTTGAACATGAAATTGAGTTGATTTGGAAAATTAATAGACCCGTTGGTTTTTTTGGGGATAGAATGGGTTCCGGAAATAATTCACATTTTATATTTAAGCATTTTCTGTCGTGAATTTAAAACCGAAATATTCAATTCATCAAACTTGGGTGAATTTGAACTGTACTAATTTTTTTTTTCAAATCTGTAAAAAGTGCATGTAAAACAAGTTTTTAGATTTTATTCAAGATTCTCTTTTAATATTTGAAAGTTTATTTCGGAAATTTTACAAATTGTGTGTAAAATATTTGGTTTTTTATGTCAAAGTTCTCTTGAATTAAAAAGTTTCCAAAAAAAAAAAAATTAAATAATAATTTTAATAAATTTTGACAAAAAAATAATTTTGAGGCAAATTTAAGTTTTCTAAATTTAATAATTTGAAGAAAAAACAAAAACGTTTTGCTTTTTTTTAATTAATGTTGGATTTTTCAAAGTAACAATAAGAATTTAGCGCATAGAGCAAGACAACGTATTCCTACATCTTAAAAAAAATCTAATAAAAAAAATTTAATAATTCAAATAAATTTGGAAAAGTATTTGAAAATTTCCAAAAAAAAAAAAAGAATAATGAGAATTTATTTTAATTTCCAAAAATAAAAAAAAAAAAATCAACAGTTTCTGAATCCTGGAGATATGCAATTTTTTAAAAATCTCAAATTTTATTACAAATTTCAACTTTTGCACATTTGTATTCTTCCAACGTTTAGTTTTCAATTAAAATTTTGTAATATTCCTTTTCACCTACAGTTTAGAAGTTTAAATGTATAAACTTTAAACTCAACAAACTATTCTAGTCCAGAAGAAAACTATGACGTTGGAGAAATTCAAGTGTTAGAATTAAAACAATTTTGTTAGAATTATAAACACATGGTTTAAAACAAAAATACTGCAAATTTTTTCAAAATTTTGTAAAATTTAACTCAAATTCTTACTTAAAATTACACCTAAATAAAGCTAAACTTGTCATGTAACCAAAAATAGATCAAAACTATATTAAGTTTTTATTTGCTCTAATTTCTAATTTAAAGTTAAAAAATTTTAAAAATTGGCTTGATAATTAAGAGCTTAGAATAAAATTTTTGCTAGTAGAAATAATCTGGAATATTTTAATCCTTCGAAATCAGCTTAAATAAATTTATTAGTCGTAACTATCTTAAATTTGGAGTTCTAATACGGAAAATGAGGACTCCACTTATAGCCTATACTTAAATTCTACATTAATTTAATTTTATCAGCTGTTTTTATTGTGAGTTTAGTTTACTTTGAATATTTCTATTTTGGTTACAATACAGACTAAATTTTTTTTAACAAAAATATAAATTAACAGTTAATTAATTAATAAGCATAAGCACTGTGCGCTAATAGTTCTTTTAAAAATATGAATATGCCAACATTAAACTCTTTGAAAAAAGTATCAAATTTTCAAAAACTTTTAAAAGGAAAGTAAAAAAAAATATAATTTTTTTTAAATTTGTTCCAAAAAGTACAAAAAGCGAAAATTAAGCATATATATATACATATATGTATATTGCCAAAAAGTATTTAGAAATGGTTCTATATTTGCAATCATCCTGTAGTTTTAATATAAAAAAAATAAAATCTTTTATTATTTTTTATATTATATTTAAACTGTTCCTATTTCACAGGATAATTGCATATTTAGATAGTATACTTGAAATCCTTACTCACCAGATCATCAAATTTCAATGCATCTTCATCACTTAACCCCATGCTGCGGGTCAATGTTAAATAAGTCGATGTGATGGGTTTTACTTTCATTAAATCAATTTGGTGCATATTTTTATCACCAGTCTCATTGTTATCATTATCATGTTCGTGATTATTATCCTTATCATTATTCACATTATCCTTTTTATCATTACCTTTTTCAAACAAACAAAAATTACTAACATCATCATTACCAGTAGCCATCATACCACCGCTCTTATATGAATGCGATATTGATGCTGTTGGTAGTGATGTTGTTGGTAAAATTCGTTGTTTGTATTTTGGTGACATTGATACTGTTGTTGTAATTGGTGGCGTTTGAACTGGCATCTGAATAATAGTACTATTTGTGCTCGAACTATTACTACTACTATTATTATCTCCAGAATCCAAAACTCCTACGTCCTTACAATCAAAACCATAATGTTGTTGTGAATATTCCTGCTTGATATTCGATAATTCTTGTAATGTGGATGATGATGATGATAAAGTTGTTGCTGCTTCTACTGATGTTGATGATGTTCTTTCCTTATTGTTATTGTTGGTATTTCTAATTGTTTTCATCATCATTAAAACATCTTCGTTCTCATTTCTACAGCTATGAAAATCATATAATGGAAATTCTTTTTCATATTTACTGTTAGCTTTATGAGCTTTGCTTTTGTCAATGTTTTTGATTTTGCAGTCTTTTAAATTGTCCTGAGATGGATTTTTATACAAATTTCCATCATCACAATATTTTTTAGTTTCATGAAATTTTTTACTTAAATTAATTGCACAAGTTTGTCTATCACTAGTCACTAACACAGGGGAAGAATGGGTAGCATGGGAAGAGGATGTTGTAGTTTGAGGTATAATTGTTTCTTCATTTGATGGTACAGCTGATATTTTAAGATTTTTATTTGAAATTGTCGTCAAATCAGCTATAATAGAAGGAGACATTATTGAGGTAGAATAAAATATTGAATCAGAGCCGTATGATTGCTGCGAACCTGAAGATGTCGGCGCAATAGTCGAAGTTGAACTAACGAAAGGTGGAGAAATGTCAACGGACTCAGGTTTATAAATCGTACGTTTTTCATCTCGAAATCGTTTTTCCTCGTGAAAATGTGAGGTGGGAGTTGTAGTTATATTTGTTTTAGTAGATGGTGGAGATGGAGTTGCAGGAGATGTTGAGGGTGGGGTAGTTTTGCATGAAATTTTTAATTGATTTGAATCGTTTGAAACGTTAATGGAAACGTCTAAAGAATTCACCATTAAATTATTATTATCTTTGGCATTACTGCCAGATTGTCCCAAATGATGATGATTTGGTGGGGTGATTGTTAAATCTATTGAATCTGTTGACAAGTTTATTGCATTTTCAATATTTATATTAATTTGTTTTGAGTAAGAAGTTGGAGAAATTTTAGTTTTTGTACTATTTCTATCTTGTTGAGATGATTGGGGTGGTGACGACCATGTATCAGCGGCTGGAGGACAAGGTTGATGTGGAGAATTTTGACTTTTTGATTCTCTATCAATTGTCGTATAATGGGGAGGACTGGGTCTAGCTGAGTATAAAACTGATGTTGGAGAAAATGGTAAAGGATTTAAATTGAGTAAGTTTTCGGGATTTGACATTCTTTGCATTGAATTCAAAAAATTACTTATATCAGATGGTTGAAAATTTGGTAGAGAAGGAGGAGGGAAAATATTTGCACGATTAATATTAGGAGAGGATTCTTGATGGTGAGGCTGCCATAACTGTGGTGGTCTATAATAAAATTTTTTTAATAACTGAAAATAATTAAATAGATTTTCTTGATTTTTATAAAATTCTGGATCATATTCATATGTTTTTGGAGTTTTGCTATATGGTTCATATGAATCTTTTTTTGGTGATGTTTCTTCAATTGTCTCACAAGATCTTTTTCTTGCTTTCAGTTTTTGTGCTAATGTTTCAGTAGATGAAGTAGCGGTGCTGGTTATAGGGTTTTTAGAGTATGGTCTTATTTCGGACTTTTTTCTAATTTTTAATTGTTCTTCAATAAGACTTGAAGTTAGTTCAATGGAAGGTGTCCGGCATATATTTGGTTCAGTTAATTGCAGAATGGGGGATTTGGTTTTAACATGACTAGTATGACTTTTAATGTGGGTCATTTCTACGTCTTCAGACTCTTCAGGTTTTGGTTTTTTGGATTCTAAATTAGCGCTATCTTTAGAGCTCTCAGTGTGAGAGGAATAATTGAGGGCTTCAGTCGATTCAACTGAAATTTCATTAGTAGTATGTTCTTCAACTTTAGTATTTGGTGAATATGGTCGAAGATTTTTTTTACATTCTGGACAAGTTGTTAAAAATTTTGTAACGGCTTCGCGAGGCAGAAAAGCGTACGTTTCAGTGATCTGGAAAATAAATAAATAGAAAATAAGAACATGGAAAATTATTAAATCTATACTATTCTATAAGTTCGTTTTTGCCCAGCATGTCGTCCACTTCTTCCACCAAGATTTACATGAACATTGTAAATAATGTCGAAAAACTCTTCAACCACAGCCACCTTACGATAATATCTTTCACCAAAATCCTAAAAATTTAATTTTTAAATCAAAATTGCTTAAAAATAATTGTCAAAAATTTTTAAAATTTGTGAAATTTAAATTGAAACTTTTCGTAATTATAAAAACATATTTTATAATATTTTTTTTCAATTAGTAAACATTAAAAATATTAAGAGACGCGTAATTGTTTATGTATTCAAATGAACAGAAGCTTAATGACGCCGAATATTTGGAAAAAACTAAAAGCCGAATAGCTCAAGATGCTTTGAACGAGTTCATAAAATTACATAAAGAAAAATTTTCATCTTTTGGAAAATCGAAAAAGGAAAATTTTAACATCTCAAAAAGTGAACGTAAAGAAGCCCATTCAATATGGAAAAAAATGAATCAAGAACAAAAATTGCCATTTTACTTACAATCTTATTTAATTTGGAAATTTAATTTTCAAGCAAATCATTTTGAGAAATTCAAGTCGACGGCTAGTGAACAATATGAATTTTCAAGGTTCAACATCAAACGACCAAAAATCAACATTATTAAATTCCCTAAGATTAACAAAAAAATTCGTGGTGATTTTTATACCTAAAATAAACGTAATTTTGTTTTGCAATTAAATGATTTCACTGACTAATGGTTTGTTCTTCTCTAATACTTGCAGTTTTTCTGAAGTGTTCAATTTCTTACATATATGATTTGGAAATTGCTATTTATGCTATACAACTGTTTCCCAACTCGTTAATGTTAAAAAAACTTTGATTGAATATTGTTCTTACCTTACTAGTTGAAGCTACATACAAATCAATATTATCCGTTGTTCCGATACGCTTACTTTGCTTACATTGTTCTTGGGTGTCAACAAAGCCCTCAGGTTTATGTGTTGTAAATCCTATGAAAGATAAAGAATTAAACATTACTTTTGTATACTATATATACATATTATGTGCGTACAATGTGAATTTGAATTTCTAATTGAAAAAGTGTACATGTACATAAAATAATTAGAGGAATAACAAATGAAGTCGTCGAGATTTGTAAATAGAAAAGTATGCTTCGCATACTTAAATTTTAAAGAATATTCTCTCAATATTGGAATGTCAATAAATTTACTAGAAAACACTTTCGTCTTTCTTGTAACAGTTGCTTGAGAGAAACACGTAGACAGGAAATATTTAAGAATGAATATGAAATTTATACCGAATAACTTATGTCGTGTACTCTAGCTAATGGCGAGGTGAACTTTGCATTTCCATTTCGTAGACCCCGCTGAACAGGTCAATTTTTTTAATGGAAATAATGGTTATAAGTTGACTGATTTCCCATATACAAAGGTTTTATCCCTTTATAGCGGTCTAAAGAATGGATAAATACCAGTACACCTAAAACGGACTCTATACATAAAAAAACTACATTGATGCTGTGTAGGAAAAAAATATAAAAATTTTTTGTTATTTTTATGAGTATCAATGAAGCAGACACAAAAAGATTAGAAACATTCTGTGTACTTTTGTGAATAAACAATGTGAACGTCAATATATTAATAATGCCATAGGTTGTGTCAGTTATAAAAAAATTTAGTTAAGTTGAAAAACATTTTTCTTTTTACATACCTTTTGATTTAACCCAAAAACGAAATTTAGAGCTATCTGGTTTGCTATGCTCTTTACCATCTAATGCTTTTAGAATTCTTGATTTCTTTTTTAATGTAATCGTTTTTGTTTTAGCTTGGTCTCCGTATGTTTTAAGAGCCCACGGTTGAAATATCTAGATACGAATTGCACAAAACATAATGTAAAATAAATATAAAGAATCATTTAAAGATTTATGTATGTATATGTTGGCATGTAAATATATATTTATATACACACACCTGAAATAATTCATCCTTTTCTTCATCTTCACTTAATTTCTTCTGGTTTTTATTACATTCATTTTTATCAGAATTCTCTCGTCTATTGCTATCTTTACTCACGATTTTCTCATGTTCATGCTCACTTAAATCTGTTTCTGTATTCCCTTTTTTATTAATATCCTTTTTAATATCTTTATAATATTCACGAGAATAATAGTTTGAATGTTGAAGAAATTGTTGCTGTTTTTTCAGCTCTTCAATATTGGATTGAAGATGATGTTGATAGTAGTGGTGTGATTGCTCTCCATGTGATTTTTGTGTTAAACTACAACAACAAACAGTTGGTGCTTTTAAATTTTGCTGTTGTTGGTGTTGATAATATTGTTGTTGTAATTGTTGTATATGTTCACGTTGCATTTGTTGTACTTTTTCTATATTTTCCTTTGTTGAGAGTTTTTCTTCAATATTAATATTTTCGTTTTTAACAAAAATTACACTTTCATCATCATCATCATCATCTTCGATGTCTCCTTCTTCATCTTCTTGTTCTTCTTCATCATTATCTTTATTAATATCAATATCAACATTTTTAATATTTAAATATTTATAATCAATAATATTTCTTCTATTTTCCTGTTTCTCATTTAAACTTTTACTTTCACTTGAGTAAAATTTATTTAGATTATCTTTTCCATTTCTATTCTCAATTTTATTATTATCGTCTTTGTTATTATTAATATTTCCATTGTTGCCGCTTATACTAATACTACTACTACTAGTGACGCCGCCGTCATCAGTTCCTCCGCTATCTTTATTATCATTTTCTTTTAGTTGATGTTTTGTCGTTTTACCATTTTCTTTATTATAATCATTTTTGTTACTATGATTCTTTTTCTCTACATTATATATTATATTTTCCAAGTTGTCGTTAATGTTCGGATCGGAATGACGACGATTTTCGACGACAACCACGTGGTAATCCTTAGAATATTTACTATATTGTAAATGTATTGGTAATATTTCCATATGATGATGATGATATTGTTGTTCTTCTTCTTCTTCTTCTTTAGTTTGTTGATGTTGATGATGATGAAGTATTGAACTAGTTGTAGGAATTTCAATTATATTAGTATTATTTGTAGAAGTTAAACTACTTGATGATGGATATATTGAAGCGGAAGAAATGGCAGAAGATGTTGATGTTCTCAAATAAGAAATTGGCGACGATTTTGATGTACATGATGATGATGGTGTTGTTATTGGTTTAGAAATTTCAAGAGGTGTTGTAAAATAATTTAAATTTTGTAAAGATAGAGCTGAACGAAAGTTACTTAATGGTAGAACAGATGATGTTGAAGTTGAAATTTCATCTGGATTTATTGATGATCCTATTGCTTGATTTCTATAATATTTTGATGTTGTTGGTGTATTATATATTGATGTTAATATTGATGATGAATATGGTAATTGTGTTATTTGTGAAGCTGGTGATGTTATTGAAGTTATAGATGATGATGACACCGATGATGGTAAAAGAAATGGTGTCGATGTAATTACTGTTGTTTGATTTGCTAAATTTTTATCTTGTATTACAGTTTTTCTACTGATATTTTGATCACTACTATTGTTATTATTTTTAAAAATTAAAATATTTGTATTATCAATTAATTTTTTACTATCATTACCATTTTTTATATTTTCACTAGCACAATCACTATAATATTTATTACTGTTACTATTATTTGCACCAATACTATTATCATCTTTAATTTTTTTATTATTATTATTACTTGATTCTATAATCAAGTCACGTTTTTCTTTTATTTCTATTACATTTTCTTCTTTTTCATCTATTATCTTTTTACCATCAACATTACTATCACCAATATTTTTATATTGTAATAGTGTCCTTGAAAGAATTTTATTATTATTATCACTTTCACTATTTCTAATACCACTATAAATTGGCATTTGAATTGATTTAATTTGATTATTTTCTGAGTCAGTTGTTTTTATTGATGATGATTCTGATGATGTTGTTACAATGTTAGGCAAAGATAATGATGGTATCGATGGTTGCAATGAATATATTACTGCTGATGATGATGTTGATGATAATGATGATGATGATGTTGTAATTACTGTTTCTTTAGTACATTTTATTGTAGATTTCTCTTTATCATATTTATTACTTTCCATATTCAGATAAGTGTATATATGAAAGGATGTACATACATACAAATAAAATATAATAAAATATTATCTTAACAAATTAATTAAACCGAGTTAAAGGATAAAAAATTATAAAACTTTTCCGAAGTTTTATTTTTAAAATCAATTTATAATTAAAGAGATTTAAAAAAAGAAAATTATAACATTGAATAAAAAAGAAAAATAAAACATAAAATTATTTAGGAAAATTAAAGAAAGGAAAAAAAAAAAAACAAAATAAATAAATAAGAAAAAAAAAATTTAAATTATAAAAATAACTTTAAACCGTATTTTATTTTTTCGAATCATATCAGAACGATTGTCGGTAACAAACTGATTAAAAACTTATGAATTTAAAAACGAAATCATTTCTAAATTTCTGAATTTTAAAAAATTTTTCCATATTATTCTTAAAATCTTAGATACAAGAAAAAACAAGTTCTTCCTCTTATTTACTTAGAAAATAGGAAGATTCTCATTTTGGGAGGGGACTTTTGAATAGTCTTCTTTTTTTACATATTCTTACTCAAAAGGAAGAATAAAAATAAAACAAAAATTCAAGTAAACTCTTCTTACTGGTTATCCTCGTTTAAGAAATTCAAAACCATACATTCAACAACATCCTTTTGTTCAATTAATCATTTCAAATACTTGTTTTCTAATAATTATGAATAAGATCTTAAATTTAACTGTGCAGAAACCATCTAATTTCCTTGTGTTTAGGAGGTTTATTTTTTTTATTAAATAAAAATTACATTATGCTTAGTAATTTCATTCCATTTTATTGAATTATTCTCTTTTGTATATTGAATTGAAATTTTCAAAAAAAAAAAAAAAAAACAACAAAGAAAATGTAAGTTACAAAATTTATTACTTTTTGCTTAAATTTTTTTACGTTATAGGTTTTTTAATTTTGTTTTGTTAAATATCAAGGATTTCTTATAAGGTTAAGTTTAAATTTAAAGGATTGAAACTTGTTTAGTTAAACTAAAATAAAGAAATTATTTTCGTTGGAGAAAGAGTTGCCGTTCCTATTACTCTATTGCCGTTCTAGTTTCCTGAATCTACTCTATAAAAGGTTGTAATAATATTTGATTAATTTTTAGAATTATGATCGTAATTAATGCGTAATAAAATTATTGATAAAGGGTCATCATTATCTCTTTTAAAATTTTTGAAAATTTATTAAAGACACAAACCAAATTTTATAACGTTCAATAAGATGCGTGATGTTCAATTCCCATGGATAACAACCTATTTCCATTTGAAAAATATGATATTCCTGATACTAAAGGTTATGTTATTGAAACATACGACAAAGAAATGGCAAAATATAAATAAGTATTTTCACATTTTTTAAGCCAGAAATATACACAAAGTCATAATGCAAAAGAAGTTTTCCAAATTATTGAATAATCCTCTTTTGTTTGAATTTCCTTTAATTCTATTCCAATTTTATTTTCTGTCATTAAATTTACTCATACGAGTATGAATAATTTTTTTGGAATAACTATAGAAAAATAGTAAAATTAGTTAAATTAAAATTACACATGTCTTATTACAATTTTCATCTCATACGCTAAGCTTGCACTTTGAAGTCACAAGAATGCACATTAAAATTTTTTTTTGAGTTAAATTTAAACGACATAGACTTAATATGCAAAAAATTGCAGTTTACTATGATAATTTTTATTAAAATGCTTCAAAATTTTTTTTTAAATATTTATAAATTTATTGTTCATTTGGTAACTCTAATCTAAGTCACAAAAAATTATGATTTATTTATAACTTCTTTTTTTGTTTATTTTTTTGTTTCTGTTTTTGTCTTAAAAATGCAGATGTTTAACTAAGTTGACAATTTAGTGGAGAATTGTAAAGCTTTTTTTTTTTTTTGTGTTCCTGATTACATTTTACTAGAACTTGAAGTTAATAATTATGGTGATAAGCGTAAAAAATCGGAATAAAGATGATATGCTTCCCAGTTATTTTAATAATTTTAACGATTTGTAAAGAATTTGAAAATAACAAAAAAAAAAAAGGAAAAAAAAATTTGCATATAACTCTAATATTGTTGCACACAATAAATTCTTACATACATACATACTTACATTATTTTCTAACACGTATTGAATTTATAACAATGAAAAAATTATTTGAATCGCTTTTAAAAGAATAGGGTTTGGTTAATTTTTATTAATGATGGTGTTTTTGAGCAACCGTTTTCTTATTATTATTATAAGATACGGGTGTTAAATTCCTTGAGAATGTGAAATTTTTTTAAAAATATCTACATTTATTTTTGAATTAAAAATAATTTTTTTTTTTAAATAAATAAAATTTTTTGTAATTCGTCGCATTTTCTATAAATAATTTTTATTCATATAGTTTAGAATTTAAAAAAATTTCAGTTAAAATGGAGAATAATGGTGTTTTATTGTCTTGGTTTTCTTAAAGGTCCACCCGTTGTTTTTAATTTTTTTCAAAATGAAAACGAAAAAAATTCTGCGTTATACATATATGAGAAATTTTCTCACATGCGAAATTATAAGAGAAAAATTCCTCACAATATAATATTAGGTTTACTCAAGTCATTAAGTTTAGTGGGAAAATATTAGAATATAATTTTAGTTCTCGAAACTAAAAGTAATTTTTTAAAAGTTTGAAATACTATTCTTCGTATCAATTTTAATGAACAAAAATCCAATAGTTTAAATTTGCCGATTTTCTTTTTACACATTGAAAGACAAGAAAATTTTGCTTTGAAGTAATTGAAATTTGAAGTTTGGGTGTCTGAAAATGAAAAGAGAGATGTTAAATATCTGGCTTAACGGCGCGAGAATCATTTTGCTTTGTTAGCCCAACTAAAAATTATGAAGAACTGAAGAATGGAACAGAATGGAGGAAATTGGATTAAAGAAAAGAATACGAAGTAGATGTAAAATTAAGAAGATCGAATTTTTTGGGAATTGCAACTAGAAATGTTCATATGCAACTAGAAATAATCATATTATAGGCGAGCATATTCACAACTAATAGGTTTCACAATGGCTGTTGAATCTACATAATTATATGCAACATTGTTAATCAATATTAGTAAGTAAAACAAAGAAAAACTTGTAAAATAAATAAATTATTTAATAATCTAAAAAAAAATTAACAGTTATTTAATTTATTATATTACAAACATTATTTTGTTATACATATTCATAGCTTCAACAAGACCAAAAAATATAATTTTCTTTTTATGTAAAAAATTGTTAATTTCAAATTTTATTTAAAATTTATTTTCTTCCAGCATAAGTTGGCAACAATAGATTTTCTTTTTTTTTTCTTTTCTCTGATTTTTTAATTTTAAAAAAATTATTTTAACAAACAACTAAATTAATGTGATTTAGCGTATTTATTTTTCGATTCAAATTGTCCGGTAACTGGTACAGTAATGCCATGAAGTTCTATTTGAGTTTGAGAATGTACACGTGCTTTATATCCCATTATTTTCCATAAGACGTACAATGTGAATATGAAACAAATTTTCATAGACTTTTTATAAAAAAATAGTTCTCTTTTTCATTGCAATTTTTCTAATGTGATCCTTTTTTAACGTTTGATCCGAAATTTTCTATTCTATTGTAATGTTAAATGATGAAAATTTGAAAAATTCTTTATAATTTAAACATTTAAAAATTAAGGTCAAATCTTGCCAAAAAAATTTTTGAGATGAAACCATAAACTTTTCTTTGAAATAATTCATTTAGTTGGCTCGATTGATCTTTAAATTTTGTAGTCAGGATTTAAAATTTTTTAATAAAACAAAAATGTCTTACCCAAAGTATTCAAAAAATTGAGATGTTTATGGGTACAAATGTGCGTTTTTGAAAAGTTTACACGAATTTTCTAACTATGCACTTAAATTGACAGAAAAAAATGCTTCAAATAATTAAAATATTTCGTGCTTATCAATTACTTAAATCTTAGATTTACATGCGAAACATTCTATAGTCATTATTAAGAATTGATAAATGTTATAAAGAACTTGTTAAGTGCCAATTTTCTCTTTTCTCATTAATATAATAACTTCAATTACATTAAATCGAAATTGTTGAATTCAATTCTACTATATTTATGATAAGTATATACTATTATTATTCATACCCATATGTAGTAGATAAGTAAACTATCTTAATTCTTTTAAGTATTTTTCCACATCAATCATATCAATCATTACAATTCGATTATATAATCAATTCTTCATTTTTATTTTTTTCAAAAATTTAACTAATTTATAGCAAGCAGTATATGTAAATACTATAATTAGATCTCTGCCACTCTTGAACTTCTGTGTATAAAATTACAAACTATGATTTAATTATATATGTATATATATATATACATAAACGCAGAAATAAAATTATAACAATATACGTGTTTTTAAATATATTCATTCATTTACAAATAAGCCATAAATGATTACAATGTACATATCAACATACAAATGTTACAAGTTACAACTAAATTATATGATGTATGTATTATATATATATATGTATATATAGTATATCGCAGGCTATAAATTTTATGTAACATAAAATTACCTATATAAATTATTTATAACATTTTCCTCATTCTTTTTCATTTATTTATTTATAATTTTCTCTTATTTTTTACTCTGCACTTTTTTGTTTTTTGTAAATTTTCAATTGAACAATCATCATCCTTTGAATTACAATTAATGTCCTACCTCAACATTAAAAATCCTGTAGAAGTACAGACGAAAACATAAAATTAAAAAAAAAAATATAAATAAAGAGGAAAAGTATAACAAAAATTATAAATGGAAAAAAAAGAGAGAGAGCAAAAAAAATTAAAATTATTTTTGCGTATTTTTTTTTTTTGTTTTTGAGGCAGATAAAAAGAGAAAGAGATTAAAAAACGAAAAGAGAGAAAGGAAAGAAGTTGAACGAATGAAAACATTCACACAAATTTAATAT